TATTTATAGCCTGGATCTACACAGGAATTCTGGAATTGAATCAGGTCTTCAGCCTAAAAAGAAACAGAGTCCATGTCAAAATAAAAATTCTTAGGGAGTGACTTACAGTGAAAGAAAAAAAACTAACTTTTTGAGGGAGTCCATGTAGAGTGTGTAGAATATTACCTGCATGACATAATCATACTTACACTTCAGTTCAGGCAGGGCAGGTGGACTAGTGAAAGATTAGATGATTGCTCACTATATTAAACATTTCAACTGAATTGGTTTTCTTGTATATGGAAAATGAGGTTGCTGGCTTAACATCGAGGACATGCACTGTATTGCTTTCCCTCACCAAGTGATGGATTCACCTGTCCCGTTAGGTATGGTGAGGTAGGTGTTCAAATTCACGCACATAAATAGTATGCTGTCACAGAACAGAATTTTGCATGAATCTGTTAAACATCCAAGGTGGCAGCTGGTGTGGGCCATGGGCTGCTCAGTCAGACCAATGCCCTTATAGAGCCAACACCAACTTCTACCTTAATGTACGTGTTGGGACACACCGGCAGTTGCATAACCACTTTTTACAACTTGCCGGTCCTTTTATTCAGCCATCCAAGATCTCAACCACCTGTCCACCCCCAATGTCATTGCCTGCATGTATACACATGGCATACATGGGAAAACATGCACCAGCCATCTCCCTCCTCCACGTTCATCCTCCACCTGCTCAAAGATTGATATACAACAGGTAGACAGTGTGACGTGGCCCGGACATTCTAAGTGTCTAGAGAGAGAAGTGCTGTCTTAGGCAAAAGGCCACAGCAGGAGGAGGGGGTCATTAGTAGTAAGACTAAACAAGTGTAAAGCAAGCCTTAAATGGGTCAGGTTTTGGAGAACACCTGTAAAAACTTCGAAAGTCAGTTTCACAAATTGGGGGCAGATGTAGACAAGAAAAGGTGTTTTACCAAGTTCATTCCTGGCCCACTTTAGGCCCTCTCTAGTGTTAATTACTGACTGGAGCATCGACTAGTGGCAGCCTTTAAGTTAAAAAGGGGTATGAAATTTCAGCCATAAGAAAATGGCAGTATTAGTGACGTTAATGAACATGAAGAGTAAGAATGGGGGTGTGGGAGTGGGCACTGAAGTCCAACCAATTTAGGTACATTTTGCTACTTTTTAGCTGTGCAACTTTATGAAGGTTACTTAATCTCTCCAAATATCATTTCCCATAAATAGGGATAATATTTTTAATTATTTTGTGAGGAAGTAATACGATATCTATAAGCACAATGCCCAGAGCACAGTAAACATTCAATAAATGACAACAACATATTATTAATATCAAATCATGGAAGTCCAAACATAGGTAAATGTTTATAAGGGACTTCATACTTTTCTAACTGCGAGTGTCCCTCATTGTTCATGTCAAACAATGGCTGCCAACGAGCGCCACATCCTAATTCCCAGAGCTTTAGAATATGTCCCTTACACGGTAAAAGAGATTTGCAAATGTGATCAAGGATTCTGAGAGGAGGTTGGCTTGGATTGTCCGGGCAAGCCCAGTATAATCACAGGGCTCCTTACAAGAAGGTAGGGGGCCCAGAGTGGGAGTTCTGACGATGGAGGCAGAGGTCGGAGCAATGCAGGAACAGACCAAGAAATGTGGGGTGGCCTCTAGAACCAGAAACAGTCAAGAAAACAGATTCTCTTCTCAAGTTTCCAGAAGAAAGGCAACCTTGCTGACCCATGTTAGACTTCCGGCCTTCAGAACTGTGAGATGAAGTGTTGTTTTCAGTCACCAAGTTTTCAGTAATTTTTTACAGCAGCAATAGGAAATCAACACACTTATAAAGGTAAGAATCTAGATATTTTTTAAGTTGTCTTCCCTGGATGTTTAGAAAGAAAAAAAAAGTAGGGAGTGATCTAATGTGGAAAAAAATGGGTTCAGAGTCTTAAACATAAATGAAATTTTTATTTTAAGGAAAAATATACAAACATGCAATTTTATTTACTTATTTTTATTATTTTTTAAAATCTTCACCCATGGATATTTCTCCATTAATTTTCAGACAGAGTGGGAGGGAGGGAGGGAGAGTGGGGAGGAGAAACATCAATGCGAGAGACACACTGACCAGTTGCCTCCCGCAGGACCCCAACCAGGGCCAGGGATCAAATCACAACTTAGGCAGGAATTGAACCCAAGACTCTTTGATTCGCAGGCCAGCGCTCTAACCGCTGAGCCAAATAGACCAGGGCTAGACATGCAATTTTAGAACTAAAAACAGATCATGATAAAACCTTATGGTGTCATGGAGCCATATTGCGAGAGAGAGACAAGAATTGGAAAGGGAAGATACATTTGTTTATTCAATGAATGGATATCATTTCAAAGTCTTCTCCCTTATTTAAATTCCCTTATTTAAATTCTCTGTGATAGTTCTCCTTAGCTATTAAGTTATACTAGAAAATTTCTAAGATTTCTTTCAGCTCTAACGTCCTAGATTAAACCACAAATGAGAAAACACATATAACTTATTCACCAGTGACCCTCAAGAAGCTTCAATTCCTAGTCCTCGTGGGTAGGAACTTGCCTGCTATCCATATTGCAACCACTAGATGGCAAGGTTAGCCTGGTGATAGCAAATCTAAGATCCTGCATTTAAATTGTTTACATTTCTGAGCTGTGATATAGAATTTATTTTAAAAGCATGAGGAATTCAGCAGGGGGAGAAGTCTAAATGGTGAATATACAAAATGGTTGTCACATATGGAATGTATCACATTTAGAAAACCCATCTACAGGCCACAGAGCCCATCCTGATGAACTGAGAGCTGATAATGCTGTCTACAGCCAGACAATTTTCTGGCAGGTGGTTTTCCAAAAACCGTTGTAGTGCCAGCACACTTCCACTATGACCTACAGCACTGCTAAATAGTCCCCCAAATGTGCTGCAATTCATTTCAACATGAAGGAAAATCTTCAACCTGCCAAATATTTCACATATGTTTATCAAATACTTTATAATCCATTCCTAAAGGATATGCTGTCTCTTGATCCTATGCTGAAAATAAATGGAAGAAAGTTAATTGACAATGTGCCAATTTCTATTCAAAATATCATACCATAGCACCATTTTCAAGTTTAGTTTCAGGAATGGAGACAGAGTAATGTCTGCTTTAAGAGTTTGGCAGTACTTGAGGGAAAGGAAGATGGTAACGTTACACTGTTGATTATTTTACAGTAACCCACATCTTCTGTTTCTCATCACAATAAAAAAAACCTCTCTTTGTTTTTCAGCTATTTTTCCAGGACGTGTACATTTCAATTTATGCAATGAGTAAGCTATGAGTAAATCAAATTTGAGTGAATGGCAGTAAGGGAGCCCCAAGGGACCCCTCTGCTGGCTCTCTCATGCGCTGATACAGGGAGTGCACAGCATATGGCTCTGGACTTATTTTTATATCTTGCAAGTTGATCTTTGAAAGCAAAGAATGTCTGTAAATATATTAGGTCTGCTACCTTTCAGGCTTTAAAACCGCTTTTGATCACAATGTCTTCTGCTAATGATACATCAGTTTAACACATTTGAAACTTTTGGAAAAAATTTTAGTTAAGCAAAGTTATAAAACTTAACTTTTGTACCACTAATTTGACTTTGCTGTTTCCGAATCTCTCGTCTCAGGTTTCTCATCTGCAAAGTTAACTCAGTGCTAGGTGAGGTAACTTCAGCCTCCCAAATTCTGAGTCTGATCCTGCTGTTAAATATGCTTGCCTTGAGCGCTGGGCAGAGAAAGATAAATAATTTACTCAATAGGGAAAATTAACTCACATTAGCAATTGTTTATTTTACAATATAATGAGCACATACTATGTGCCAAGCACATAGGCTAAACAGTCTCACATTTAAAAACATGAAAAAGAGTATTTTAAGCCTACAGGTTTCTGAGCTGTGTGGAAGAAAATTTTAGAGAGTTCAATCTCTTCTCACGCTAAAGGAGCTCCTCTAATATTTCCTTAAAGAAATAAAATTCCAAATGATGCCTGGCCACTACTTTCAAGCCTAGATGTCTTATTTGGCTGGGATTTTAACATTCTTTCTACAAATTATGAACCAGATTTGAAGCATAATTTTTCAAGCAGCAAAATAGGACTTTTATAATCCTTTTTAGAGACAAATATACTTGGGATAAAATGAGAATTTCAAAAATTAGTAGGATTAATAAAAGGGTGGGGGCACCTAGATAGGACAAGCAGCCTCATTTCAAAACAGTGATTGTAAAAAGTTCAGAGGAATCAAGCAAGAATGTTTCTGCAACTTTCAAAAATCTTTATTGTAGAAAATGTCCGAACTACACACAAGTTGAGTAAAAAGTATTTTTAAAAGTAGAGAAAAAAGTATATCCCCATCTGCCCATCAGCCAGCTTTAACAAGTATCAGTATTTTGCCAATCTTGGTTCATCTATCTCCCCCCCCCCCCCCCGCCTTTTTTTTTGCTAAAGTATTTTACAGCAAATTCAACACTTTTCAATTTCTTTCACCTTCTCATTTTAAAAACTGTTTTCCACTGCTCCTTTTGGTGACCTGTGCAGCCAAGTTGATGAGATAGAGAGAGAAAGAGATTGATTCTAGCTTTCATAGTAACCCTGCCAAAGAGGTTTTCAAGAGACTTTAGGAGAATGCATTTTACACCTTTTCCAATAGCATCTGCTAATAATCATAAAAATAAAGAGGTTCCCCTCTGGGACTGCTTAAATTGAAAGAATTCCATTTATATTCCAATGCAAACATTGTCGCTATTAATATTAAACTGTGCAGAGGCAGGCACATAGAATTGTCTATGGGAAGAGAAGCTCATTTCTTTTAGGACCAAATGTTAAGTTTGAGCCCATCTTCAGAACCCATCAAAGATGCTCTCCTTGGATGGGTTCTGCCTTTCTCAAGGAAACTTCCAAGTTCTAGAGTCTCCCAGGTTTTTTGGGGGGGTGGGGTGGGGGGCTGCTCCATCCTTACCTGTGAAGCTTATTCAGTCCCGAGGGTGCTCCCTAGTTCGAACCAAAGAGCCCCTAGGCGGTCACTAGGCTGAGGGAGGGAGGCTGGGCGCTGCCCCGGGAGCCGAGCGGACTGCCCGAGCCGGAGGCTGCCGCCACCCCGCCAGCACCAGGAGCCGGCGGCTGAGACTGCGGAGGAGCCGAGAGCCCAGCTGCTCACCGAGGGGAGATGGGAGGGGAAAGGGGGCGATGACGCGGGGAGACGTGGGGGTGGGGAAGGAGGGGGTGGGGGGAGGAGGGGGACCGGAGGAGAGGGAGGGAGCAGGAGCCAGGGCGCAGGCCGGACGGGGGGCTGTGCTATGAAGTGCGGGGCAGACCAGGCGACCTCCGCCTTGTCTTTGTCCCCAGGGCGACTTGCTAAGCACTAGGAAAAATGCATGAGTGGGCTCAGGGGGGACATCTGACCCCGTGACAGTGCGCATCCCTGGCGCTCTCAGGAGGATTCTCTGAAGTGTGTGCTGTGTTGGAGGCGGGAGGGGTGCCCGGGAGTAGTTAACCTTGAATCTCATTCCTCCGGCTCCGCACTCAGCCATCAGAACCGGGGCGTTTCCCCAACCCCATCCGAGCCAGTCTCTACCCCGGGCCTGGCTTCCCTGGACCTACACTCCCCAGGGCAGTCCGACTGCTGCCAGCACTACGTGCGAAGTCACCTGTAGCCCACGGCTCCTGCTGGCGCCCACACCCGAAACAAGGACCCTGGAGTGCCGGCTGAGCCACTGGGAGACCCTGTGAGCATCCTGTGCCGCCTCCAGAGGGAGCGTGTCGGTTTCCGTCTGTCGGGCTTTCTTTTGCAAATAACCTTTAAGAGCCCTGCCCTCCCCAGTCCACCTAAATTCTAACCGTATCCATTCTCACTCTCTTCTTTTATTCTCTTCTTTAGGAGAGGTGCACCTTTGGGGTATGGACCCCGTGTAGAAGGGAGCTTTATTGTTTCAGCATCTACTGAGCTTCTTCTACTGGGGGGGGGGGGGGGAGGAGATCTGGGGCAAAATGCAGGGATCCAATTAGCACAAAAACTGGGTGCTGCCCCTCAAGGCAGGGGAGCAAATAAGTGCACAGATATTTATAACAGAAGATCTTAGTATGTCCCCTAACTTTGCTCACTAATGGGTCATTATCTTTCTCAAGTTCCTGTGTATTTTTTTAATGAAATGAGATCAGAACATATATATACAATTTTGTTTCCTGTTTTTCACTTAGCCTTTTCATTTATGCATTTACCATATAATTTAAATCTATTCATAATTTTTTTCTGGTAGAAGATAATTAGTTCTGAAGTTCTCGTTGTCCCCAGTTAGGATCAGAAGCTTAATAGACATCTTTGAACTGCCATCCACGGGGCCCAGGATGGAATGAATGCTAATTTTATGTTGAACTTGGGAAGTCATTGAGAAAACCCAGAACCCAGGATGGGAAGTCACATCTGATACTAAATAGCTGTACCCTGGGCCTCAACGTCTTCACCTGTAAATTAAGAAGGTTGAGCTGGAGGAGTTCTATAGTCTGTACTTGTCAAACGTTTTTGGGATTCTAACACTGCATAAGTCCAGAAGGATTCTATGTGGACCCTTCACATGTCCCAAATGGCAGGACTTCCTTCTTTTTCATAGCTGAAAAAATTATTATTTTTTATCCTCACCCGAGGACATTTTTCAATTTTTTGTTCAGATAGACTGAGAGGGAGAGAGAGGGAGAGAGAGAGAAACATCAACGTGAAAGGGACACATCAAGTGGCTGCCACCTGCACGACCCAACCAGGGCCGGGAACAAACTGCAACCGAGGTACATGCCCTTAGTGGGAACCGAACCCGGGTCTCTCCGGACTGCAGGCCAACGCTCTAACTGCTGAGCCAAACCGGCCAGGGCTAAAAAAAATTATATATATATATATATATATATATATATATACATATATATATATATATATATATATATATATTTACGCACACACACACATTACGTTTTCTTTATTCATTTATCAGTTAATGGACACTTAGGTTACTTCCATAATTTGGCTATTGTGAACAATGCTGTAATGAACGTGGGTGTACAGATATCTCTTCAAAATAGTGATTTTATCTTCTTTAGAGATACACCCCAAAGTGGAATTGCTAGATTACATGGTAGTTCTATTTTTAATATTTTGAAGGGTTCTGTCCTGTTTTCCATGGTGGCTATACCAATTTACATTTCCACCAGCAGTGCACCAGGGTTTCCTTTTCTCCACATCCTCACCAGCATTTATCTCTGGGCCTTGAATTTTCTGTGGGTTTACCCTTCATCTTTTCCCAGGCAGATGTTCCAGCAAAGCCTGTAGAGTGTCCTGCAGCAGAGGAAAGTCTTCACATGTGAGCATTATGTTCTCATTGCGATGGGTCCGTTTTACTGCGGTGGGAAGGACATAACATATTGCGGGGCTGTGAAGGAAAAGCACTCGCAAGGTTTATTCTTGTCTCTTGCGCATGAAGGGAAATTGATCTTAGTTTCAGAAACCTGTACTTGTCCATCTTTCCATGAATCTTCTTGAAGATGAAGCACTTTGGCAGGAACACTTTTGCAAAAGCATCAGAATAAAATAATAACTGTCTGCAGATGACAAAACATGGTTAAAAACAACCATGATTAAGAATCTGGTGAGAGTTCACATATATACACAAAATGAGACAATTGACTTAGTTATCCATTCCACTCTTTTTTTTTTTTAATTTTTTATTTATTTTTTTGTTACAGATGTTTCTCCTTTTTTACCCTATTGGCACCCCCCTCCCCACCCCACCCCCACCCTGTCCCTGGCTTTGTTGTCCATGTCCATTGGTCATGCATACATGTATATAAGTTCTGTGGTTTAACTCCTCCCACACCCCAACCCCTCTTCTGAGGGAAGTCAGTCTGTGCCCTACTTCCATGTTTCTGGGTCTACTGTATTCCTCAGACTGTTACGTTCATTATATTCCGTATATAAGTGAGATCATGTAGTATTTGTCTTTTTCTGCTTGGCTTATTTCACTTAGGATAATACTTTCCAGGTCCCTCCATGTCGTCTCAAAGGATAAGAGATCTTTCTTTCTTACCGCTGCATAGTACTCCATTGTGTATATGTACCACTGCTTTTTTATCCATTGGTCTACTGATGGGCACTTGGGGTATTTCCAGATCTTAGCTATTGTAAATAGTGCTGCTATGAACATGGGGGTACAAATATTCTTCCTGAATGGTGTTTCAGGCTTCTTAGGGTATTTTCCTAGGAGCAGGGTCACTGGGTCAAATGGAAGTTTAATTTTTAATTTTTTGAGGTAACACCATAGTGTTTTCCATAGTGGCTGCACCAGTCTCCATTCCCACCAGCAGTGTATTAGAGTCCCCTTTTCTCCACACCCTCGCCAACACTTGTTGTTTGATGATTTGTTGATGGCTGCCATTCTGACAGGTGTGAGGTGATACCTCATTGTTGTTTTAATTTGTATCTCTCTGATGATTAGTGATGTTGAGCATTTCTTCATATGTCTCTTGGCCATTTGTATGTCCTGTTTGGAGAGGTGTCTATTCAGCTCCTCTGCCCATTTTTTAATTGGGTTCTTTGTCTTCCTTTTGTTGAGTTGTATGAGCACTCTATATATATTGGAAATTAACCCCTTATCTGATATATCATTGGCAATGATGTTCTCCCATACAGTGGGTTGCCTTTCCATTTTGATGACTGTTTCTTTTGCTGTGCAGAAGCTTTTTAGTTTGATGTAGTCCCATGTGTTCATTTTTTCCTTTGTTTCTGTTGCCTTAGGTGATGTATCAGTGAAAATTCTGCTCCGTATGATGTCCGAAATTTTGTTGCCTACATTTTCTTCTAGAATATTTATGGATTCACGGGTCACATTTAAATCTTTTATCCATTTTGAGTTTATTTTTGTGTATGGTGTAAGTTGATGGTCTAGTTTCATTTTTTTGCATGTAGCTGTCCAATTTTCCCAACACTATTTATTAAAGAGGTTCTCTTTACTCCACTGTATGCTCTTACCACCTTTGTCAAATATTAATTGTGCATATTGCCTTGGGTCCATTTCTGGATTTTCAGTTCTGTTCCACTGGTCTATATGCCTGTTCTTGTGCCAGTACCAGGCTGTTTTGATTACAGTCGCTTTGTAGTATAACCTGATATCTGGTATTGTGATCCCACCTACTTTGTTCTTTTTTTTCAAGATTGCTGTGGCTATTCGGGGTCTTTTTTGGTTCCATATGAACTTTTGAAGTATTTGTTCTAGTTCTATGAAATATGTCGTTGGTATTTTGATGGGGATTGCATTGAATCTATAGATTGCTTTGGGTAGTATGGACATTTTAATGATGTTAATTCTTCCAATCTATGAACAAGGTATGTGCTTTCACTTTTTTATATCTTCCTCTATTTCTTTTTTTAATGTCCTGTAGTTTTCTGCAAATAGGTCCTTTACTTCTTTGTTTAAGTTTATTCCTAGGTATCTTAATTTTTTTGGAGCGATGGTAAATGGGGTTGTTTTTTCCGTTTCTCTGTTAGTTCATCATTGGTGTACAAGAATGCTGTCGATTTCTTGACGTTAATTTTGTATCCTGCTACTTTGCCAAATTCATTTATTAAGTCTAGTAAATTTTTGATGGCGTCTTTAGGGTTTTCTATGTATACTATCATGTCATCTGCAAATAATGACAGTTTCACTTCCTCTTTTCCAATTTGGATCCCTTTTATTTTTTCCTCATGTCTGATTGCTGTGGCTAAGACTTCCAGTACAATGTTAAATAAGAGTGGCGAAAGTGGACATCCCTGTCTTGTTCCTGTTTTTAATGGAAATGTTTTTATTTCTGCCCATTGAGTATGAGGTTGGCTGTAGGTCTTTCATATATGGCCTTTATTATGTCGAGATATGATCCCTGTATTCCCACATTGCTGAGTTTTTTTTATCAGAAATGGATGCTGGATTTTGTCGAATGCTTTTTCAGCATCCATTGATATGATCATGTGGTTTTTATTCTTCATTTTGTTTATGTGGTGTATCACGTTTATTGATTTGCGAATATTGTACCAGCCTTGCATCCTTGGAATGAATCCCACTTGGTCATGATGAATAATTTTTTGAT